GTCGCTGGAGAAGGATATCATGTTTGGTAAGGTGGAGGGTCAGAGAAAAAGAGGAAGACCCCCAGTAAGATGGATTAGCCAGGTGGCAGCATCAATGGGCTCAAGTGTGGCAGCAGTAGTGAGGTTGGCCCAGGATCGGGCAGTGTTTCGTTCTGCTGTGCATCACCTCCTCGACCACCCTCACTGTCCATAGCACAGTGGGCTTCATCCAGGGCTCAGAACTAAGGGAACCCAGAAGAGACAGGGCCCACCCAGAGAGGAGTACATGCACACACACACACACATCAGGAGCCACAGAGACAGAGGGAGAGATGGGTTGGCAGAGAAGTAGAGAGCCAGCTGAGGCCTGGAGAGGTGGACAGGAAGCATGCGCTGGAGAAGCTCTGAGATGGAGTGCAGAGATGGGGAGAGGCGCTGTGTGACACAGCCCTGCCCACCCTAACCCCCACCCTGCTCTCACCCTGACCCTGGTGCCACTTTCCTCCTCTTCGAGGGGGGCCTCGCCGCTCAGATGGCCCCTCCTCCTCCGAGTCCCGATCATCAATCTTCTGTTTCTGTTTCCACTTCTGGTAGCTGGGAGGCCAGTGAAGGAGCTTGTGTGGGAAGTGAGGGCACCCCACAAGCCGGGCTCCCCCCACCCTGCAGCCCCGCACCCTGAGGATACAGATCCCGCTTATAGGAGCTGCTGATATAGGAGCCACTCTCTGTCTTGATCTTCTTCTTGTCCTCCTGTCCAGACCGACCCACAAAGCGCTTCTTCTTACGGTCCCTGTAGGAGAGAATAGGGGCTGCGGCAAGGGGCCTGGGCAGCCCACCTGCTCACCTGTCTCACTGCCCCCTCCCTGGATTGTTGCATTGAATGGAGGCAGGGCTGACATGCAACAGGTGCTCAAAAAAGGCCTGCTCCCCACTATGTGTGACCTTGGGGACAGGACCTCCCCCCACCGCTGTGTGTGACCTTGGGGACAGGCCCCCCCCTGGCTGTGCGTAACCTCGGGGACAGGACGCCTCATGTGTGACCTCAGGCTGGCGTCCTGACTCACTCACCACTTGAGCTGCTGCTGACCCCGGGTCAGGTTCTGGGCTTCATCCCCCATGAGGTCCAGAACAGCACCAGCCACCTGCTGCTCAAAGACCCCACCATCCCCGACACTCAAGCTGCAGAGGGGACAGAAAGTCATGACAGGGAAGCTGAGGGTCCCCCAGGCCCATCTTCCCATGCCCAAGAGCCAACCCCACTCACCCACGCTCGCTGTCAAAGTCCTTGGGCCGGTAGGGTACATAGAAGTCCCGGTCCTGCTGCTGGACCTCTGCCCGCTGCCTCTTGGCTCCCCTGTCAGCGCCCAGCCGCCGCCGCTTCTGGCCCACCACCTCTGTGAAGACGTCCTGACCACCGAGGTCCAGCATCAGGCCCGGGTTGCCCTCATAACTCTCCACCCACCTGCCCTGGTCAGGTCAAGCGGCCAGCAGGGCCAGAGGAACACAGGACGTTAATGTCTGGCCTGGCCAATATTAGCGGGGAGCCAGGTCTCCTAGGGTCGGGGTCTCAATTTCCTCATCTGCACATGAGGTACAGCCCCTGCCTCAAAGACTAGTGCAGATGGGGCAGGCAGGGATGGGACTCATCTGACTTAAGTCCAGTCCCCCAGGCTGTGGCCCTGAGACAACCCCACAGGCTCCTATGACTAAATCCTGACCCACCCCACAACCTCGAGGCTGGGCCTGTACCTCCACATGCTCTCCCGTCTCCTCATCCTCCCCTGAAGGCTGCTCGTCCACTGGGGTCTGCCTGTTTGAGGCTGGCCCACTCGGACTTTTCTGATGCTCCTGCCGCCCCTGCTGGAAGCGAGCGATGGCCTTGCGGTCCTTCTGCCTCTTGGCACGCATCACCTGGCTGCTCGGGTCATGGCTGGAGGCGTTGATCTCAAAGATGGTCTGCAGGGGGACACTCAAGTTCTTCACCCACAGATCTAAACCCCAGCCCAGCCTTCACCAACTCGGCGGGTGTGTACCAAGTGCTGAGTGTAGCAGTGACTTCTACAAGGAAGGGAGTTCAGAGAAGACAATAGCCTGCCCAAGGTCACATAGCACAAGCCAGTGCTCAGATTTCCACCCCGTCCTCTGACTCTGAGACTGCCCCCACCCTATCCCTGTTGCTGGACCCCTTCGGGAACAGGGGTCTCTCATGTACAGGAGTGAGACAGGGGCCAGGCAGTCAAGATGAAGGAGGAAGGGCAGTTGGAAGCCAGCTGGTCAGACCTCTATAGACCAGTCTAGGCCTCAGTCTACACACTGTAAACAATGGGGTGAAAAGAGGGGAACTCCCAGGGAACCACCTGCTAAACACCAGCAGAGATGGTTCAAGAGTAAGAAGCGTCTCAAGAGATGCCGATGGGGTCCGTCTTGCAGATTAAAAAGTGGAACCCCATGGTCCCACCCCAAGTCAGGAGCATCATCTGAGAAGCGCCAGCAGCCCCCACTCTGTCGCCAGGATCCTGTGAGACCCTTACTCACCGCCCGCGAGCGGTACTTCTTGATGCTGTCCACCAGCCGAAGCCGTTGCAGCTCTTGCTCCCCGAAGCGCGAGCCTGGCGGGAGGAGGCCGGAGGCCAGGGTTGGAGTCTGCAGGGCTCGCCCTCCACCTCCCCCCATCCACCTGTCACCCCGCCAAGGGACTCACTGAAGAGTGGGTGCAGGCCCAGCCCCGCGAGGTCCAGCGCCTTGGCCCTCTTGATGGACTCGGGGGAGGGTGCCGGCCTTGAGCGCACATACTGTTGCTGAGCGTTGTTGGCCACGCGGCCCAGTCCCTGCAGCTCCAGCGATGCCTCCAGCGTGCTCCGAAGGCCACAGTCCTCGTCGTCCACCACGCTCTGTGGCACCCGGCCCAGCACGCCGTCCGCACCAGCCACATCTGCTGCCCACACAGCGCCCATCAGGGGCCCTCCGACCCAGCCCACCTGCCCACAGCCCTGCTTTCCTGTCCCCTGAAGTCTTGGGAAACAGTCACCAAGACACCATCATTCATCAGCAAGCTACCGGTGTGCCAGCACCGTGCTCAGCACCCACTGCACCCTGTAAGGCAGCCTGCTTTTGTGAGTCAAGTTTGACTGGAGCACACACACACTCGTTTATGCCTCGTCTATGACTGTTTTGGAAAAGATAAGGAGCTCTGGTAGCGTAGTGGTTACGAATCGGGCTACGAACCTTAAGGTCAGCGGTTCGAAACTACCAGCCGCTCCGCGGAGAAAGATGAGGCTTTCTACTCCCATAAAGATTTACACCCTCGGAAACCCTGTACAGGGTCGCTATGGGTCGGAACCGACTCGACGGCACTTAACAACAACAACAACAAAGGAGCGGCCTACAACCTGAGTATCCATGATCTAGCCTTGGGAGAAAAAGTGTCGATTCCCACATTTCATCTCTGGATCTCCACAGCAGCCCCATCTTCCAGAAGAGAAAACAGAGGCTCAGGAAGGCTCAATTACTTCACAAGATTGTCGGTGCACAGGCAGGCTCAATAATAACAAGAGCCCTAGCGAGCAGGAGAGACCACTACAGAGACTTCATCATTATCTGTTACACCGTCCCCCACTCCCCCTCACCCGGCAACTCTACAAGAAAAGTGCCTGTTATTCCTGTTTGTGTTGGTTTTTGTTGGGTTGGCTTTCTGTTACGTACGAGACAACGTACGAGACAAAAGCAGAACAAAAGGAGTATTTGCTACCAACACGAATCCAGTCTTGCAAGACAGGCACTCTGATAATCCCATTTTAAAGATGAGGAAACTGAGACGCCTGTGGTGAGATCCACCCCTGCCTCCTCACAAAGCCCCCGCATGAACTCTGGGGGAGACCCTGGCTGGGCCCCACCTCCACTCACCTGAGGGCTCCTCATGGGGACGGGCGAGAGTGAGGGCACGGCCCAGGAACAAGTGCAGGTCCAGCAGGTAGGGGATCTCGTCCGGGGCCACCAAGGAGTAGGCTGTGCCACTTCGGCCAGCCCGGGCCACCCGACCTACGGGGGAGATGGGCAGAGGGAGAGGAGCGCCCCTCTGTGCCACACCCTGACGTGTGAGCCAAGCTGAGCTGCTGGCCCCACCTGCATGACCCTCTGGGAAAGCTGGCCAAGTCACATACCAGGCGCTGCTCAAACCAGTATGAAATTCTACTGCATTCCCATTCCTGGGAATTTCCCCAAAAGGAAAAAGGAAAGATGCAGAGATTCCTGTCCAAGGATGTTTACAGTGTTGCTAACAGCAAGAGCCCAAGTCTCCTGCTAACTACAAGCGACGTCAACGTGTACGGATGGGAGAGCGTTTATTTAGATGACCACAGCAAACAATACCATCGAGAACTGCTCCATGGGAGTTTCTCAGCTGTAACCTTCCCGGAAGTAGGTTACCAGGACTTTCATCTGGAGCCTTAGTGTGTGAGTTCCAAGTGCCAACCTTTACACTAGTGGCACAAACCATTCATACTACCCAGTCACGTTTACTACTCTAAACATAACGCAAAAGGTTACAAAGTACCTGGGGTGGAGCTAAAGAGGACCAGGGAGAGAACACGTGAGAGGGGCAACAGGGACCACGTGGGCAAGGATCCACCCCAGCAGGAAAGTGACAGGTGAAGCCCAGGCCTGGCCAGTACAGGAGAGGACAGGCCCCTTATGCACAGCCCAGGGGAAGCTGCATTCCCCAGAATCTCACGGTCCACTCCCTGCCCCTGGACTCGGTTTCCGTAGCTGTAGCGATTACAGCAGAGCCCTGTCCTCAGCACCCGGCCAGGACTCCGGCCTTACCCACGCGATGCAGGAAGAGCTTGCCCTTGGCAGGGAAGCTGTAGTTGATGACATTGTCCAGCAGTGGGATGTCCAGGCCTCGGGCGGCCAGGTCTGTCACGATGAGGGCGGAGCACTTGCCATGTGTGAACTTGGCCAGGTTGATCTTGCGGGCCGTCTGGTCCAGGGCGCTGTAGATGTGAGCACAACTCACTCGCTGGGTCGTCAGCAGCTGCGCAGTGGAGATGGGGGCGTGGGCAGGAAGTGAGGGAGAGCCGTGGAGGGGCGGGGGCGGGGCCATGTATACGGGCACACAAGAAAACGGGCCTGGAGTGCAGTACCCGGCTTTGCAGCCTAGCTCTGCTTCGTGACTCTGTTTCAGTAGCTTCACCAGTACCAAATGGGACTCCCTGCAGGCCAGAGTCCCCTAAGAAAACCACAAGCCTCATCAGGACCCACCTCAGACTCACTCTAACAAGCTGTGTGACCTGGGGTAAGTCACCTAACCTCTCTGTGCTTCTGTTGCTTCATCTATAGGTTGAGGAGGGAGAGCAACAGTTCTTTCTTCATAGCCTTATGAGGTTAAATGAGTGACTACACACAGCATCGGGATCAGGGCCAGAGAGCCAGGAGCGCTAGAAAGGCCTTAAAAACAACTGTCTGGGTCTGACGCGGGGAAGGCTCAGCGACCGCACAGAGGACACACTCACTGTTCAGTGTGTGTGGAGTGACTGAAGCCCAGATGAGAAGCCACGGAGAGGCTGGCCCAGGCGGGGAGGCCCAGTAACCTTCTGGGGACCTGAGATTCAGCCACACCTTGATCTAGCAGAGGACTCAACAAGTACACTCCAGCCACCATGGAGTCACCTCCAGGCTCCTGGTGACAGTGTGTGTGTGTGTGTGTGTGTGTCAACAAGTACACTCCAGCCACCATGGAGTCACCTCCAGGCTCCTGGTGACAGTGTGTGTGTGTGTGTGTGT